ACAGCATAGTAAAAAGCAGAGACATCACCCTGCCAACAAAAGTACATATAGTCAAGGCCATGGTTTTCCCAGTTGCAATGTATGGCTGTGAAAGTTGGACCATAAGAAAGGCTGAGCACAAAAGAATTGAGGCCTTTGAACTATGGTGCTGGAGAAGACTCCTGTGAGTCTCCTGAACTGCAAAGTGATCAAACCGGTCAGTCCTAGAGGAGATCAACCCTGACTGCTCTTTAGAAGGCCAGATCCTGAAGTTGAAACTCAAGTAATTTGGCCACCTAATGAGAAGGAAGGACTCACTGGAGAAGAGCCTAATGCTGGGAAAGATGGAGAATGAGGAATCACTGAAGCCGTAGGCGTGAGCTTAAATGGACGGTAGATGGACAGGAAGGCCTGGAGGAACGTTGTCCATGATGGGTCAGACATGACTTCGCAACTAACAACAACATCATCAGCATACTGATGGACTGACCCTATGTTGTCAGATGATCTCATTCAGCAACTTCATTTAGATGTTAAATAAGAGAGACCGAGCATGGAAAAAGAGGAACCACTGTAGCATTGGGCCCACCACTCCTAATCCTTGAAGTCAGGATGTTAATCCAGCACTAATTGTTGGTGTCCAGCACTATTGAGGTTCAAAGTTGTATTACATCCATAGCAGCTCCATAAAAACCATCTACAAGTACAATCAAGGCAGTATCTTTGTTATAACCAGGCATGAAAGCAGATTAGAAAGGATATAGACTTCTTTCAGGAGTCTCTGAAACCTGACCACCAGATTGGAGACTGATCAGAAATTGTTTAACATTGCTATAACTAATGATAGTTAAGGAGGGGGTACATCACTGCTTCCTTCAGAGCCACATGGCCACCCCTCATTCATATTTCTCCTGGCACAAGCTCTGAAACACAACAGGAGTTATTTTATAATTCTTCTAGAGATGCTGTGGAATTCTAGCCTTTTAGGAATTTATTAAAAGTGTACCATATCTGTCAGCAGGTAAAATGACTATCTTGAGACATGGTGTCATAAACAGACTATCACCCTGTTGTTTTGTTGCACATTCTATTCTGATGCTCATTTTTTATCTGCTAGAAAATAGTTTCCCTAAATACAGGCCTAAGAATCCAATTATAAATAATAAGATGTTACAGCTGCAGGTTTTGTGAGCACAGAAAGGGTGGGTGGGATGAAGTGAGAAGTATATAATTCTCTTGCCCTCTTTCTTGATTTGATTGGCTAGCCAGTCTTTTCAATCAGGTTTATATTCTAGAGTGGGAGAAAGAAGCTCCTGTGGCTGTGAAAGCTTTATTTTGTGAAGATTTCTTGAATTGCTCAACAGGTATTGGGAGGAAATTTCCAGACGGTTTGAAGGTAAAATTTATTTCAATATTCAGCATTGGACAAGCTTGGTTTTAAGATGATCATATCTTGTCTCAGATGGGCTTCTACCTCTTTAAGACCTCTCTGAAACAAGTGTATTTCCTTTCTTCTCACTGCAGTAATTGGAAACATGGCACTTCCAAAATTTTATTTTGTCACAGGTTAAAGATGTATAGAAACAACCCAGGGATCTGTGACAAAGCTTCAGTTAGTATGTTAATCTTAAAAGAGTTCCAAATAACTCTATGGTTTCCTGCAAAGGTTACCATGATTACTGAAATGTGATCCATAAGAAAGCTTGCTAAGTATTAAGACTGAAGTCCAACGGCATGTCAAAGAATTGCCAAATTCTTTAGTTCTACTGTAAGTGAATTTGAGGATGATTTGGCTTTGTCTGGAAGGCCTCCAAGTTGTGAAACATGGCAACTTTGCACGGGAGACTTTGGTTTGGTGGGATTAGTTCATTCGTGCGAAAAACCTTGCTATCATCTGGATCACTGCAACCCAATTCATGGTAGGCCTAATTTCTTATCATTGCTTCTTATATTTGCAGCTTGTGAAACTCAAAACATTTTATTTTTTATTTCTTGCTGACAGCCTATAAATATCTCATAGGCCCTGAAAATCCTAGGCACAGGATGAATATGGCATGATTTGGTTGGTTTTATCAAAAATATCATTACTGTGTCTTGAAGTTAACTGCCGGTGTTACAGCGCCTGAAAAAAATTAACCAGAATTATTTTTATAGTATAACTGAATTTGTACGGAGGCAATAAGCACAGCAGAAGCTGAGACAGTTGTCTGTTAGTGAGGAAAAGAAAGAGAAGTCACCATGCTTCCTTATAACTGAAAGGAAGTGTCCATCAATTATGGAAGGAATTGTGTTGTCACTGAGATAAGTCTTGTGGCAGAAGAACAGGAATCTGTTTAGGAAAGGGATCACCAGTTTTAATGAAAAGGCCACATCTTGTTTTAAAGTTAAGTCATGCACGTTATCATTTAAAGGGCATTTCCTTGCATCTACCTCTCACACAAGCATGCCTACGCCAGTGGTGGGATTCAAATATGTGAACAACCAGTTCTCTGTGTGGATACCGCTTCCCAAAGTCCGTTCTGGGTCTGGGCAACAAAAATAGCTACCGGTTCTGCTGAAGTGGTGCAAACTGGCTGAATCCCACCACTGACCTATGCCAACTCTTTTCATGCCAAATCCTCCTGCTTTTGTTAAATCCTGTACCTTTGTTAAACTAGTGCTTTCCTCTTTACTCCAGTACAGATTTTGCTGCAGATATACTCTGTCAATGATTCTGTCAATGCTGCAGCCAGGTGACTCTCTGGGTGGTTGGGATTGCCCATCACATATATAGGACATTAAGCTGGTGCTGATTCTGAGTTATTCTATCTTGGGCAGTAGTACTGCCCATTTACAGAGTAGAATACAGAATAATAGAGTTAGAAGGGAACTTGGAGGTCTTCTGGTCCAGAAGTCCCCAACCTTTGGGGCACCAGGGACCAGTTCTGTGGAGAGAGGTTTTTCCATGGACCGGAGGGTGCATGGTTTTGTGTGCTACCTGGGGCTTTGCTTGTTTGTGTGGACTGGTTGCTGGCATGCCACAACCCGGTACTGGTCCACAGACCAGGGATTGGGGACCCTTGTTCTAGTCCAACCCCATGCTCAAGCAGGAGACCCTATACGTATTATTTCAGCCAGACTCTCTGTTCCCTGCTACTTATAGATCTCCGAGCTGTTTTTCAGATCTGAGATCTGAGAGAGCCTAAACACTGACTGACTTGTTATTCCAGCTTTTATTTGGCTATTTTTAGATGCAGACATAGTGTTCTTTCAGAATAATACTATCCCAACATAAGCCTTGTCCAAAAGGACATTGACTATTAGTTGATTTTCAATCTTCCTTTAAACAACCAAAAATGTGCAACATCAGACCAGGTTTTCATAATTGGGTAAACCTGTGCTGGAAGAGTGATTAGAGTGATTAGAGAGATAGAAGGTCAGGGGATCCACTATTCCCCATCTGTTATATATGTCCTGCACCATAAATAAGGGCACTATATTAGTAAATTAACTTCTGGGCAATACTGCAAGAGACAAGGATAGCATAATTTACCAGCACTGTGTTTGTGGAGGGTAGGCATTGCCTGCAGAGCAACCAATGCTGGTCTAATTTGGTGCCAGCTCAAGATAATATAGATAATATTTGGCACTCAACTGTGAGGAAGACATCATTAAGAGGGCCAGTTTAGTCTAGAGCAGTGATGGAGAACCTTTTAGAGACCGAGTGCCCAAACGCAACCCAAAACCCACTTATGCATCGTCGAGTGCCGGATGGGTGTGGCCCATTGGCTGGGCGTGGCCCAGTGGGTGTGCATGGCCGAGTGGGCGTAGCTGCAGTGGTAACAGCAAACTGGGTGGGACTAAAAAGTTCAATCAATCAATTCCAACTTTGCAAGATCTTTTTTTTCCTGTAAGAAGTTGAAATTGATTGATTGAACTTTTTTTTTTTTTGCGCACGGCAGCGAAGGCCTAAAGCGAAAAGGTTTTATAAAACCCAGCTGAAGGCCTAGGACTGGGGCGACGGCGCGCGTGCCCACAGAGAGAGCTCTGAGTGCCACCTCTGGCACCTGTGCCATAGGTTCGCCACCACTGGTCTAGAGGTTAAGGTACCAGGCTAGAAAGCGGGAAATCATGAGTTCAAATCCAACCTTAGCCATGAAAGCCAGCTGGGTGACTTTGGGCCAGTCACTTTCTCTCTCAGTGCAAGTCACCTCACACGATGGGATGGGATACAAACAAATAAAAGTTAAGTTCAAAGGTACACCTTAAGAAATATCTTAGTTTGCACAATACAGATCCATGTCTATGATTGCAGAGATATCAACAGGCACTTGTGTAGTCATGTAGTCCTTCCCTTCCCTGCCATCTCCTATTACTTTCTGGCAGTGAGTCAAGGAGACTTGGAAGCCTCTCCCCAAAGGCCTGGTCTGTTTGCATCACTGTTGGAAGGAAGGATGCCCAGAGCATGCCTGTCATGGTTTAATTGTTTCTTTTCATGCCAACCAATTTATAACCAAGTTGAGGTGACAACAAAGACAAAGATTCCTTTGTAGAAGACACCCCTCCCCCCACCTTTCTTAGCTCCAATGTCTCTTAGTTACACTATGGGACATAATAATCCTGCTTCATCTTCTAAGGATGAGAAGCTGATATAACTGATGGGCTGTGAATACTAAAACTGACATGCTGTGAACATTGCTTTTTCTATCCAGAGCACTTGCCCTCCACTAAATACTTAAAAACATTTTTGATTGACATCAGAAATGCACTAACTGAGCTACTTGCCATTCAATTGTAATTTTTACTGTGACAGAATTATTAATGCAATTAAGAATTTTAATGTGACAGAATAGTTGATGGGAGATATTCATCTTCCATCCTAATACCAAACTAGTAGTAAGAATGGGACAAATAATAATAGGATATTTGCATATTGGTGATTTTATTGTTTCATTCTATATTGTCTTGTTTTTCTCTCCTTCCAGGATTTCATCACCCTCTACGGTTCTTTCTAATTCCCTTTTATGGGCCACATCCCAGTTATGAAACAATGGATATTTGCGTTATGCCTTTTAGGAATATGTTCTGCTTTACCGGTAATTCTTACAACTTTATCTCAAGCAATTACTTCTGGCAAATAAAGTTAAAACAAATCAGTTTCTTTTTTTTAAAAAAAAAAAAACAGAAATAAAAAATATTATGTGGTTATCCATTTTGTGCCAGGTTGTGTTTCTCAACCTTGAGAATGTTAAAATGTGTGAACTTTAGCTTCCAGAATTCCCTAGACCAGCGGTTCTCAGCCTGTGGGTTGCGACCCCATTTGGGGTCGAACGACCATTTCACAGGGGTCACCAAACAATGCAGTCTGCCATTTTTCCCCCTTTTTTCTTAGTGTGCTACTCCCGCATAGGGCCCGGCTGGTGCCTTACCTCCCTTGGGCTGGGCCAGCTGGTGGCCCAGCCGGTGGTCACCCTGCGCCGTCGCTGCCCCTTGCCAGCTACGCCTCGGCCAGCGCAGGGTGCGGCACCACGCATGTGTGGTGCTCCTGGGCAGGGAAAGTCCTCGACTTACGACTGGTTGGGTAGTCCTCGACTTACAACCGGTTGGGTAGTTCTCGACTTACGATCGGTTGGGTAGTCCTCAACTTACGACCAGTTGGGGGTCACAGCATTAAAAAGGTTGAGAACCACTGCCCTAGACAGTATGTTTATGGGGAATTCTGGGAGCTGAAGTCCTCATATCTTAAAGTTGCCAAGGTTGAGAAAGACTAGATCTTTTTTTTTAATTTTTTTTTTAATCCAATCTAGTAGTCTCCAGATATAATTCCCAAATCTTTAGTTTGGGTTCTTTCTTGTATCAAAATTACAGTATATTACCATGGTTCCCCAAAAAACACTGTTAAAAGGCATTTTACAACAATGTCCTACTCTTTTGTACGTCTTGCATTAATTACATTTTTTATATTTCCTGTAATGGGGACTGTTGAATAAACATTCTACTTTAGAGTACTTTACTTGAAATTTCCATCAGTTGCTTTCAATATGTAAATGAGTTCTCATTTTCTAAACCTGTTTTACATTCCTAATTGTTTTAATTAAAGATCCACTAAGAAGGCAGGAGAATCTGTAGTCTGAAATAGTTCATCCCAGTGATGGAAACCTGAAGTCCGATACTTTAAAAATCCAGAGTTCATCCTGACAGTTAGTAATTTAAACTGATTGCCTGCTTTCCTTTTTTTTTGTGCCCCGCAAATTACTCTAGATTGCTGAAATATGACAGCAATTTCCTCCAATAACCAAGGAGAAGGAAAAATAACAAAGAAGAAATCATATTCAATGTCATACCCCAATCCTCCAATGACGTCATCATGTTTCCACCCAGCCCACAAGAGCAGTTTTCAGTAATATTATTCATATTCTTATAAATAGTGTCATCTCTGATCACATAAACTATTCTTTATCTTGCATATTTATAGATACTGCCCCATCATGCTGGGATTCCTGGAATGGGTAGTATAAGCCTTGAGGTATGTCTTTGTGTTTCTGTGTGTCTCTATATGTTAAATCTTTGTTTGTTTGTGTTTGTGTGTGTGTGTATTTCAAATTATGTTTCTAAATTATTTTGTTTATAATGTTTCTATAGCATTGAATAAGAATGAGTTAGTATAGTGCTTAAGGCACCAGGTTAGAAACCAGGAATCTGTGAGTTCTAGTCCTTCCTGGGTGATCCTGCACCAGTCCCTCTTTTTCAGTCCTAGGAGGCACGCAAGGGCAAACTGCTTCTGAAAATGTTGTCTAGTGTGTTCACATTAGTTGTGCAAACCAAATCCGCCCTCTAAAGCAAAATTTTGGAAGTAATTTTCACATAGACGGACCAATTGCAATACCTCTGTATGAATAACTCTGCTCCCTCAACAGCAATATTTTGAGTCAGTTTTGTCAAACAGCTGGAAGAGTTTTTCCTCCCTTTTTTATACAGTTAGGGACATCCATGCAAATTAGTTGGCATTAGATTCCAGTCAGGCAAAAGAAAGTGCTTCTTTACACAGCCCATAATTAACCCCTTGTGACTGCAAAGAACTAAGACGCTTGGTAAAAGGAGATTGGATAAATGTAATAGAATTTGTGTAGATGTTACTGTAATCAGACACTTCTGTTACAGAGACAATACAATTCTGAATGCAAGATGCATTAGGTGGAGAGTGAGTGGAGGCTATTATTTTTAACTACTCTTTGTGTGAGCGCCCTGAAAAGCTGTGTAAATACTGCAAAAATAGAAAATACTGATTACATTAACACTGAGGATTTTAAATATTGCCTTACAGGGTATGAGACAGCTGGGTGGACCAAGTATATCAAAGGTACTCCCTCAGGTAATCATAGTTATGCCACATACCCTCTTTTCAAAAAAAATAATAATGGTGATGAGAATAAGCTGATGATGCTATTCCAGACTTATTCTATTTATTGACTTACTTACATCTAAAGCAAGGAACCTTTGACTTTAGAGAGAATTGGAACTGATTAACTGTACTGAAATGATCGCTGATTAGGGAATTAGGCCCAAACCTCACAAAATCTAAAAATCAAGAGGTTTCCCATCCCTCACTTTTATTGAAAGATAAACTGAGTCTTGACCAAGTTTACAATCGAAAGCAATATTTATTTTGCCAATAGAGCAGCATGAAAAGATTATGTTTCTATGTACAATTATTTTAACCAGGTTCGATAAGACATGCTTCTTAATAAACAAGTTACACATTATGTTCTCAAAGAATCCTATGATGTTCCATATGACTCAGTCCCAAGTAAATCTCTATGGGAATTCAGTGGCTGATAAATTTAAAATAATAACAATAAAGTGTGGATAAATCAGAATTATCTGATTGCTTTCTTGGATATGCAACTCAGTTTAATGCACTGTGTTCAACAGCAAATACTACTAGACTCAGTGACTCTTACTGTCAAGCAGTTGTGCACTGTAGTATGATTTTAGACATAACCTAACTCTTTCCTGCTGGTTATTAAAACCCTTCACTTATTTATACAGTAATCCTGAAGGCACTCTGGAAAGTTATGCTATTGTTGTGTTAAATATCCTGTAGTGATCTTCTAAGACAGTGATGGCAAACCTTTTAGAGACTGGGTGCCCCAAAACTGCCCCGCCCCGCCCCCACTCCCACTCCACCTGCCTGCCCCGGCCCTGCTCCGCCCTCACCCCTCCCGCCCTCAGGGCCATCCACGGCCTGCTGCAGATCGCCCAGGCAGCCCTGCAGCTACACCCTCTGCCCGTGCCCCGTAGCATCATGTGCTCCCCAGCTGCCATGTGCCTGGCAGTGCTGCTCTATGTGGGCTGCACCTGGGGTTGACTTTCCTCCGGGGGGGCTGCTGATAAGGACTGGGCTGTGGGGGGGAGGCGGGGCTGGGGTGACAGTGTACATGCCCACAGAGAGGGCTCCAAGTGCCACCTCTGGCACTTGTGCCATAGGTTCGCCACCACTGTTCTAAGATGTCTGTTAAACTGACTATACAATATTTATTGAAAGCTGTTCCAAGCTGTCTTCATTTGTTTCCTTATTGAGGCTTGTCTGCTGCCAAAAGACAGAATGATTACTAAATAGATATGTAGTGTCTCTTCCTTCTCTTCTGCCCTTTTTTCCCTAGCTAAATTTATGGGTCTATTATCAAAGAAAGGAATATATATATACGGTGATTCCGACTGTAACGTGTGGAGGAAGGATGCAGAAGACAAAAAAGGGGGGAGGGGCATGATGACTGTGCATGGCCATACTTACGAGGCTTATCACATGGATAAACAGCTTACTGAACTACCCAAATTTACTGCTGTAACCCAGGTAGCCCAGAATGTCACACATGACCATTTCAGTAACAACTGGGTATGAGGGGGAGGCATTAGGGAAGAAAGTGAAAGCACTCGTAGAGAGAATAGCTGCATGGATGTGGATTGGAAAAAGAGGAAAGAGAAATGCAAACCACCACACAAACCTGAGGGAGAGAATGGATCGAAGGAGAGGGGCAACCAGGGGGATAGGGAGGTTGCCCCACCCACCCTAGAATCCAAGGAAAAGAAGACAAATGAGGACACACACGTAGATAAGGGGTGCAGGAAGAAACGGATCACCAGAGCACAATCTATCCAATTAGGTCCAATAACGAGATCAAGGAGCAGGGCGCAGACTCTGGCTTGCTTATAAGAGACTCTCCCACTCTCTGGCGTTTTAAGCCCTGATGATGCCGGCAGGTGTCGGCGAAAGCTTGGCGTTTTTAAATTAAACTTTTATAGTTTTAATTACCTTGGTGCTCATTTTATTTTATATATATATATATATATATATATATATATATATATATATATATATATATATATATATACTGAGTTTTTCGCGGGTGTTTGTATGTAGGTCTTTGGTTGTTCGGGTTTTCTCCCGCGTAAAATTGGAAGTGTCTTGGCGACGTTTCGACAAAGTCCCATTCGTCATCTTCAGGCTGGTGTTTTCAGCTTCGTGCTTTCACATTGCTGCTCGAAGCACGAAGCTGAAAACACCAGCCTGAAGATGACGAATGGGACTTCGTCGAAACGTCGCCAAGACACTTCCAATTTTATGCGAGAGAAAACCCGAACAACCAAAGACCTACATATATATGTATGTATATACACACACACACACACACACATTACAACATTTATTATTTATGAAGTAATTCTGATTGGTAATATTGGCTTGAATTTAACTCCTGTTCTAACTTCACTAGCCTCTGAATTATAGCTTCAGAATAAATGTATTTAATCATACCACTTTTAGTATGGCCAGACTTACAGCTACGCTGATCCATATCATTCAATGTGGATGCACAATTTCCTACCATCACATTCAGCGTTCTACTTGATAAGGCAAAGACCTCAACATGAAACTCAACAGGTAAGCAATTTAAGCTGTTATAGCACCAGAATTGAAGCAGAACTATTCTTTTTGCTTTCTAGGAAATTTTCCCTGGTTTTCTAGTTTTCTCTGAATATCCTGGGATTTACAACTTTAAGAATTCCATGCCATTCATTATGGTCTTCCATGGGAATTATAATTCCCTGGATCCTCTGCAGCATGACCTCCTTATCTTTTGCATTCAAATGGTGACCATCAGTCTCAATCCAGTCCCTCAGAATGGCTATATGACATGGCCAATCACAAAACTCCCATTTATTAAAATGCCAATCTATTTCTTTAGCCCAGCTTTCCCACATGCTTTCTATCGCTTCTCTCAGTTTATATTTATATTTATCCCGAGGTTGTGGTTCTCCTTTACATAAAGCACTGAGTTGCAGTTGTCTCCTCCTTCAATATCTAAGGAAATCTTTGAAATCATACATAGCAGGAATCATTTTTCAAAATTGTCAATGGAGGTTCTCATTCATCCAGGTCAGGGTTGTCCCAAAGGTGCTTTTATTTTAAAAGCAACTGGACTTTCTGATTTTCAGTTCTGGAACCCCACCAGTTAGTTAGGCACCAAAGAAGCTTCTTGGATGAGAACTGAAACGTCTTGAAGAAAAATCAGAAACTCCAGTTGCTTTTAAAATAAAAGTACCTTTGGGACATTTTTCAAAATTGATGAGTGCTAAATGTTGACATTTTTTTCTGTGGCATAGTGGCATAATGATTCATGCTTGTATTAAAATAATCATAATAATATTAGGTGAGACATGGAATTTGTTAGGGAACTTTGATGACCCTGAGAATTGAGAATCCTGGTCATAGAGGCAAATAAATGTATTACGGTATGGAAATTCATTCATCAGATTCATTGTTCATGCAGCCCTTCAGTATGCCTGAAAATGGTTCATTCATGATTTTAACTTTTCCCTTCTGGTTATTCATCTTCTATCACTCTATAGTATGAATACACAATGCCAGTGCACCCTCCTCCATTGCCATCTCAAACACCCACTCTGCTACAACAACCTGGGATACAAGAGCAACCTCCTTATCATTACACACATTTCCTTCCTACAAGGCAAGTCCAAATACAACATTATGATGTCCAGCCAGCATTTCAGCCAAAACAGTTTTCTCCATCAGAAGGAAATCAGCCAGATGTTCAGCAACAGCTATCATTGGATAGACAGACTCAACAGGTCAGTTCGGACAAGCAATTGATACACTTCTAATATGAGTAGGAATTCTCTGCATCTCCATGGCTTATAACTGTAATTGAGCCCATAACTATAGTTGTAAGTATTTGTAGTTGTAAGTCAAGGCATCACATAACTGGATCCAAAGTTTTAGCATTTTTTTTTTTGTGGCAGTTGTTAAGCGAATGCCATGGTCATTAATTGAATTCATTTTACCCAGTGGGTGATTTTTTTTGCTGGAAACTGGAAATAAATACCAGAAACTGGCAAAAAAGTTGACAATCACAGTCACATGATTATGGGACACTGCAAATTGTCTTTAAGGTGATCCAGTTGCAAAGTGTCAAAAATGTGATGATATGGAGGGGGAGGGAGGGAGGCCGTGACAACTTCAAAATTGGGTCATAATAGCTTTTAGGGCATTTGTTATAATTTTGAATGGTCACTAAGCAACTAGTTGTGATTGAACTATTAATCTTTGGTATGGTAATTACAAAACATATGAAGGCACAAGATTAACTAAGGTTGAATGAATCATTCAGTTCTGATTTCTCTGTTTTTCAATTTTGCATAATTTGCAGGGGGGGAACAGTCTAAAATGTGTATGTATTTTAATGCACATTTCTCCTTTTTGTTTGCCTTTTTTTACCACATATAAAGTTTTTTACAAATAGCCTTTCCTAGTATAATACATTTTGGGTCTTTAATTAATATGTGCACTTTCCAGCAAATTTTTCCTTAATAAACATTTCGAAAGAAATGTTGATTGCATTGCATGAAATTGTACACATTTACAATCAAATGAAAGAAAATATTGGAAGATCGTATTTACCAAGTAAATTGACTGATGTAGATTCTTTGGAATGTGATCTTGCAACAATTTATTTCAAATCTATACTACGAACAAATTTCCTAGTTTAAAAATTTAATCTCTTAAATTACTTGTGGTTCATTTATGTATCAGTTTCTGAATTTCTCTGCAAGATACATATAAATATTTCTTCTAGATTTTAAGCCTCTTCCAAGAATTTAAACACTTATAACACAATCATATTTAGATTGAAAGCTTTACTTAGTTTATTCTTTATTCTCTACATGTTGGCAAACTAATGATATTTAATAATTTCTTTTGTTAACTATAGTTACCTGTCATACAAGACTATTCAGGGACATTGGGCCAGGTAAGTAGATTTTGACTATGAGAATTATAACCAAAACAGCTACAGAGGAACACACACAAAATCAGAATGCCATGTGATGAATTCTTTATAATTTGTATTATTTCTTAAGGCAGTATATATTATAATCTCTCATAGTTTTCTGGATATCCCATTCAACTTTTTCTTTCTTTGTGCAAAGATCTACCCTGGCTTATTTGGAACCCAGCAAAACACAGCCCAACAACCACAGCAGCGGTCTGTAAGTTGGTTCTCAAGCTAAAATCTTATTGTTAATGCAGCTGAATTTCTACCACGGGAATTTCATTTCCATCTTAAATGTCAGCACAAATGTAGACATAACTTATTTGCAAATTAATTTTTGCTTCAAATGTTTTAACCTGGCTCAAACCAGGAACTGTGAGAGGAACCTTGGAGTCCTAGTGGACGATCACTTGACTATGAGCCAGCAATGTGCAGCAGCAGCCAAAAAAGCTAATACAATCCTGGGTTGTATAAACAGAGGCATAGAATCAAGATCACATGAAGTATTAGTATCACTTTATAAAACCCTAGTGAGACCACACCTGGAATATTGCAATCAATTTTGGTCACCATACTACAAAAAAGATGTTGAGACCTTGGAAAAAGTTCAGAGAAGAGAAACTAAAATGATCAAAGGCCTGCAGACTAAAATATATGAAGAATGGCTGCAGGACTTGGGATTGGCTAGTCTAAAGAAAAGAAGAAATAGGGGTGACACGATAGCAGTATTTCAGTGTTTGAGAGGCTGCCACAAAGAAGAGGGGGTCAAACTATTCTCCAAAGGACCAGAGGGCAGGACAAGAAACAATGGTTGGAAACTGATCAAAGAGAGAAGCAACCTTGAATTAAGGAGAAAGTTCCTAACAGTGATAACAATTACCCAGTGGAACGGCTAGCCTTCAGAAATTGTGGGCACTCCATCACTGGAGGTTTTTAAGAAGAGATTGGACAGTCACTTGTCTGAGCTGGTATAGGTTCTCCTGCTTGAGCGGAAGGCTGGACTAGAAGACCTCCAAGGTTCCTTCCAGCTATATTCTATTCTATTCTATTCTATTCTATTCTATTCTATTCTATTCTATTCTATTCTATTCTATTCTATTCTATTCTATTCTTTCTCTGAAATGCAAACATATTTAACAAAAAAAAAACCTTTCCCCCAAATGTCATTCTTCCTTAGAAAGAACTTGACCCGTGGGTTTATTAAATTAAGAGATTCCAACATAATCCTGATAGTTTCCAAGTTCTTGTGGATTCCTGCAGAAATGGCATAATCTTAATAATGAGAGCCAGTTGGTCAAGTGGTTAAGGCATGAGGCTAGAAACAGGGAGTCCGTGAATTCTAGTCCCACTTTAGCCATGAAAGCCAACTGGGTGACCTCAGGCCAGTCTCTCTCTCTTTCAGCCCAACCCACCTCACAGGATTGTTGTTGTGGGGACAATAGGAGAAGGGAGACATATTAAATATGTTAGCCGCCTAGAGTCATTTATAAAAATAATAAAGGCAGAATATAAAGTAAAATAAGTAGTGAGGAAAATCCATAAAGAATATTTCAGAGGTCTCCAACCTTTTGGGCACCAGGGACCGGTTCCGTGGAGAGAGCTTTTCGTGGATTGCAGGGGGTGTGGTTTCATGTACTGCTTGCTTTGCTTGTTTGTGCGGCTGAGTTTCAGGCCTGAAATATTTATATGATACCTTTTAAAGCCAGGATGTGGATAAAGATGAGTCATTATTCTGGCTAACAAGACATTTTCGTTTCAGGTCTATTTTTATACAAATTAAAACAAAACAAGCATTTTAAAATCAGTTTCATTCTTTCTTTTCTTTTTGTCTAGATTTATCCCAATTTGCAATATATGTCTTATGTAGCAAATAAAGGAGTAAGTACTTAACATTAATCTACCCCTAATGAAACCTTCAGACTTACCATGTTTGGTCTAAATAAATGTATTTCTGTGTATTCTGTATAAAATACCACATAGAAATAGTGGGAACCAGTTGATTACAATAACAGTTTATTAACAGGGTTTTTTGGAATTTTAACCTTGTCTTTTTTTATTACTGTTCACAATTTTAATACTTTAATATTTTTATATGATATATTCACTATTATTATTTTTTCTGTTAACCACTTTGTTATTAATATAGTTTATAGATGACAGGCTAACAATTTGTAAGTAGATGTAGTAGTTTAACAGTTTAAAATTCTTTTTGCAAGAACTGAGAAACCAACATTGCTGTATTATACTAATCAGCATTCAGCTAGGGAGGATGTTATGTGTGTATGCATTAGGGTTTTTTTTAAAGACTCTTTTTTATTAATGTCTTTTTTGTTGTGTTTTTTTTTCTTTTGGATTTTTAAAAAATATTTTGCATTTTAATCTTCTTTGAATAAACTAAAAATAATTAATAAAAAAATAAAGGAAATAGTGGGAACCAGGGCCATCACAACTGAGATTTGAATTCCTATAATTATATCTAAGGAATAGCTTAAATCTCCATTGAAAAAGTATTCTTGGTGCAACAAAACATTTTCCCATATCCCCCATAGGGATGGAAAGGATTATACGGAAAAATAAAGAAGGCAAAATCTTAAACTTGGGCCATCTCTGTAGTTTCCTTCCCATCTGTTAATGTGCTTCTGTGTGTTCCCACCTATTATTTTATAGGTCACATTAAAAATGAGCAAAAAATAAAAAAAGTAATTTAGTCATAGATCACACTTTTCTCAACATAGGCCCAGACGCACCTAACATTTATTCACAATAATAATGTTACTACACATCATTTACAGATGCGTGTTAAAAGAGTTGTCTATATTCATACTGAGACATGGAATACTACATGTGGGTTTAAATTCCTATAATTCTCTGGCCAACGTATCCATTGTTCAGAATTTCTGGAAATTAATTCGTACATTTAGAAGTTGGTCAGATTGGGGAAAGCTGTAATATGACCTACATATTAATATATAAACACGTTTGAATCCAGCTGTTCAAATGGTAATGATTATTATCCAAGTTATTGTGGCCACTGTAAGGCTAACATTTCAGATTTTTAAATTACAGCTTTTAAAATGGAGGAAGGTTGAATTTACCACAATACCTGAGGTTTTTTAAAAAAACATAACATAATAATTCAAAGGAAAAGAAAAATGCATTTAGGAGCATTGATGTTGTTGTTGGTAATACAGGAATAAAGCATTATTACATGGAATGAAACAATAGATCCTGAAAAATTAGCACTGTATTTGGTATTAGACTGGCATGTTTCACTCCTGATATGTGGTTTGCTTATTTACATGTTTCATTAGGCTCCTGCCAGATTAGGAATAGTAAGCTCAGAAGAAATGCAGGTAAGTTGTGGACATCATAATCATTTACATATCAGTTAAGAAGGGATAAAAATCGACTTTCTCTTTAAAGATAACAAATCATACAACCCAAGGCTAAGAAACAGCAGATACGCAGATCAAACTTTAGTAACCTTAGTAACATGAACATAAAGTATAGTGGAGGAAGGGGAAGGTATTATGGCCAAGGATAAATATTTAACTGAGAATAATTCTGAAAAGTGAAGATAATCTTTTGCTCCAAAGGGGTGGGAACTCTATGCAACATGCACTTGAAGAAGGGCCTCTGTCCTTCACCTTTAAAAAATTATCTGAGGTAAAAAATGGGCTGCACTATTATAAATATAAAATATTTCCATGGACAGTATTGATAAAAAAGCTTGTATAAGACAAACATTTCCTTGGTATATGTAAGCTCAAGTACTGATAAACATCATTATATTCCACTGATTTTTGCAGAATTTAGCACATGTTCATTTTTTCTAATGGAATTGATGGAATCCAAAGTATTTGTTGCCTTGGAATGGATGGATGGATGGATGGATATAATGGTCCAGAAGGGTGGATGGATGGATAAATGGGTGGGTGGATGGATATAATATAGAGTTGATTTGTAAGAAAGTAATTTCTAACCTATGGAATGTTTGCAATTCACCTACAAATAATGCAATAATAAGTAAAAGTGGTATAAACACAATCAAGATGAAAAAAGGTCCAGAATGTATTTATATGTGCAATTTAACTACCCCCTCAATCCTCATGAACTCTAGGCAGTTTATAGATATTAAAATAACAATAAAATTATATTTTAAAACTTCAAAACAAAATTATAATGTTTAATATTGAATAATAAGAAAAAATATACATGTCCATAAAACACCCACACCCACCCACCCACCCACACACTGTAGATAAACAGTATAGAATCAGCCTCAAAAACTTTTTGAACAAAACCCACATTTTTACCATCATGAGGGTGGGAATTATACTTGCTTGAGGGGTAAGTATTCCATAAGAGAGGAGATGCCACTGAAAACCCCTAACATTTATAACTTGTAAGCCACCCAGAGTCACCTTATATGGGAGATGGGTGGTTTAAAAATTTAATAAACAGACAAACATTGGGACCCTCCTGATACCCCCTGGAACGTAGGAATGCTTTAGTAGGCACTCTGTAGCCCATTCTCAATCTTGGCAACATTCAAATGAGTGAGCTTCAATTTTTTTTCCCTATCCAAAACCCAGAAGTCTCCAAGCATGCATCTTGCATTGGGTTCAGGATGGAGCTGTAGAACTAGGTATTATCAGTGAATTGATGATACCTCACCCTGAGCTGGTGAATGATTTCTCCCAGCAGTTTCAAGTAGATGTTTCATAGAATAGGGAGAAGACTCACCCCGAAGCACTCTATAGATGAGCATCGGAGAGGCTAACTTCTCCCCTCTTTGTTATTTTTTATTATTATTCTTATATTCGCTGCTATAATTTTTTTGCCAAAGACACCCAAAGTTTACTGAGACTGAACAGCATGTTTCCTAATGTGAGAATAAGAACTGCATACTTAAGTTTACTTATTCACAGAAACAGCAGGGTTGCATTCATTCATGCAATTGTTTCTCAGGAACTGATTTGGCTGAGCCCCAAATGAATCCTGATTCTGATTTTGCTGTCTTTTTTTTTTTTTTTTTTGCTCTTTTGATGCTTCCACAGTTCTTATTATCAAAATTCTCAATGATTTTCCTACTACTGTTATTACTACTATTCAGTTCCCCCCCCCCCCAAAACCAGCTCTTAGCTGGCCCAACTTCAAATTCCATCTCAGCTAAGTTATGTCATCTGTTATTTGTCCTCTAAGGCTTCAGTGTCAACACAGTATTTATTTTCTGGGACATTTCCCATTGCATAAAAAAAAAAAAAAACAGTTTAGATTTTCATTCCTCAAGTTTGCGTTTAGGTCAGCATGCTAAGCACCAAAGCCAACACTTTGCACTCATATCACATATTCTCTCTTCATAAGATTGTCATCTGGATCTTCAGAGGGTTCATAGCCATTCATGTACTGTAATTTGTTGTTTTTTCCAGGGTGGAGGATTTGGGGCACCAGCCTATCGAGCAACAGGCCCCCATGTCTTTCCCATGGATGCCAGATTTGGAAATATGCCATTGAACAGAGGCCAACCAGGAGATTACACAGTCGAAGATGATCAGCTGGGCATTACAGAACAGCCTGAAGTTCAAAAAGGATCTAATCTAGGGCCCAACCCTTCAGACAGAGGGAACACTCTTATCCCTGTAGATAGCAACCCAAGGGTTGCCTTGCCCAATGCCCATAACAATCTATTAAACCCAGCTGGTCAGAGTAAAGGACAACCAAATGCACCTCAAGCCACTGTCTTGCCTCCAGCAATTCCTGATAGCTTCACTCCATTAGAGGCAACTAGCACTCCCATGCCTTTGGATCCTACCATGTTTCCTGACTTCTTTTACTCAACCAGTGCAGGAAATGAGCCTGGCCAGCCACAAGTCAGTCAAAGCAGCTGGCATTTGCAAGAGCCTTAAGAATCCTTGAAGAACACATTTTTGCTTGTGTACTCCTTAGGTATTTTTTGGGGGCTTGAGATGATCTTTTATTCAATGAGAACCAAAACATCCAACGCATGAATCAATGGATGTACTGTAGCTTGTTGCAGGGAGGCCATAAGCTTTGCTTCAGTTTTTTTTTAATATTTCATCTTTGAGAAGGTTTTGGAGGTGCCAGATGATCAATGGTTTAAAAACTAAATTTGATTTCCCATTTGCTTAAGTGATCTGTTCCCTGTTTAGGCTCTCTAGCTTTTTTGTGCTTTAGGACCTTGCCTGACTCATATTTTTAATACAAATTATTTATGAACCCTTTGGCTTTAAATTCCATTCAAGACTTATAAGCAGGCATATTGATCTGGAGGTTGCCTCTCTAATTCTGATTAGATGGCTCACTGTATTGCATTCAGTTGTTTAGGCAGCATGAAATAAACTTTTATTTAACCACATTACTGATTTTTGTGGTTTCCTTTTTTTAAAAAAAAAATGATGACACGACAGAAGATTATGCAAAATCTGTTTCCAAACTAATTGGAATCTGTTTCTTTCATATTTCCCTTTTCAATAACCTCCATCCTGCACCTTCTTTATGAAATATGTATGTTCAAGTAACATATATACATTTTTTATCTGGGGCATTCATTTGATAGCTAAGTTATGATTCTTTGGAAATCGACCATGAAACATACAACAGAGCCAACTCTGTTTACTCTTCTTAGAAAGGAGGGTTGTAGGTGTGGTAAGCCCCAAAGGTGCTTTTTCAAAAGGCAACTGAACTTTGTTTTTCCTTGAAGATGTTTCGCGTCTCATCCAGTTCAAGTTCAGTTCTGAACTGAAGAAGCTTCTTGTGAAACATCTTCAAGCAAAAACAAAGTCCAGTTGCCTTTAGGAAAAAGCACCTTTGGGACAACCATGACCTGGATGACTGAGAATCTCCACAGATATTTAGATGTGGGAAGATGTAGCCTTCTGGTTGCAGCCATGGAATCCTCTTCTGCTTTACTGCTCTGTCATCTTTACAGGCAGTTTTCATTTAGTAAATGCCTCATTTAGCAACCATTCAAAGTTACAACAGTGATGAAAAAATAACTCTGTGATCCATCCTCATGTTTACGATCTTCATAATCCCGTAAAGCAACAGAGATTGTAAGCAATGTTGCAGTTTTGCTTGGCAACCACTTTGCTTAATGACCAAGTTTCCAGTCCCAATTGTGGTCACTAAATGGGGATCACTTGTACTTCAACCCTATTAATGCTAAAAATAAAATAGATGTATTACTATATTATTAATGAGAAAATAGATGGGTGGTATGTAGTGGGGCAGAAACCAAAAAGAAGAATGTTCAACATGTGTTACATGACACCCAGAATATGGTAGGAAGGAAATATATTAGACCTGAAGCTGGAAGATTTATTTTCTACCCAGACAGCTCCTATCTTCTGCCCTGCTGATATAAGCATAGCATGGCTTTGGAGCTGGTAATTCCCTACAATGGATTTTGGTTTTTTTAAAATATATATATTTTGAATTGCTTTTATCATTTATTTGCTTGAAAAAACTGAGACACCAAGTCTTGTGCAACAAAGAGACCTCTTGACACGTCCCCAGCTTTCCCCCCTCTGGACAGGTGAACTTTGCCCTTAATATCTAGTTTTATTACTGTAATGTAAAGACTGACATTACAAAGCTCCAAAGCTGCTGCATTCTCAGAATTTAGGATCAGTGCTATCTCAACAACTCTTTATGTTTTCTATGTCCAATAACTTCCAGGCAGACATAAAAATTACAGCCATTCCTCATTTTGCTCCAGCATCTGATACTGAGCTCCAAGCATACATCACCTCAGTCATATATTTCAAACATGGGTTATCATAAAGAAAATAGTAGATGTGGGTCATGGTCTGGAGCATTCCTTTGATCTAGAGTGGACATTGTGCTAATTTTCTATTGAAAAGTCAGCTTCTCCTGGCTGCTTTTGGCCTCTGAAGATAGATTTGCTGCAAGTGTTCATTTTATCTCCTAACTAACTAATTGTAGCCTTCCAGACTGGGGAAGAACAGTATGCTATGATTCATGAATATAATTTGCATGCTTCTTCTTTTTACTTCGGTATCCAAACAGAAATTATTTCTATGCCGTTTTGGAACAGGAAACGGAAATACCAATTATTCTAACCAGGCATATGTTGTTGAATTCAAGAACAGGCAGGGAAGCAGAAGAGTTGAATGTAGAATGGCAATCCAAAACCAATACTTTGATCATTTCAGTGTGAGAAACAGGAAGAACCTATTTTGAACTAGCAGGATCAGAATGGAAGGAAGCCAGTTTCTGCCACTATTTTAGAACTGGATGATGGAACAAACTAGCAAAGAAAGAATCTCAAGCCCTGGATGAATCAGTTCCTAATTAAAGGAACTATGTTGATTCAGCACTCTGAAATATCCTGTTGCTGCAAATATTTGTGTAAATGGAAGGAAAGGATTACTTTGCCATCTAAAGAAGGATCCTTTTCCATATTCATAGTGGCTCCTGTATAGACATTCCATATATTCTATATGGGAGCCACTGTGAGTGTGGAAAAAAACACAGATGCTTCATTCAGGTTTTTCTTTTGTTTGGCTCAAAAAAACATCTAGGACGGAAGTTGCTCCAAAGATGGTCCAAGTACACAGGTCCCAGTTCTTGTTTACTATAATGTATGTTTCTGACACCCAAGCTATGGTTATTTTTTGTTTATCTATTTCTTATCTGTCATTTTATTATTTTTTTATAAATAACTCAAAGCAGTGACCATACATAATACATACTTCTTTGATTGGGGTGTTGTTTACTTCTGGATTGTTGGTCTAGTTCTAAACTTAGTGTTAATCACAGCTCATCTGGGTGTTGCTTGCTGGTAAGGAGATGTTTTTGTTTTTGTTTCCTCTTTGGCTTTTTTATTGTCTCTTTTGAATGGTATCCAGATGTTGTTTATCTTTATGTGCCTATTGGAGGTACCAACTCAGCTCACAAACAAGGAACCATCAAGAACATTTCCACCAGCACTGATAGGTTAAGCCATTAGTATATAAAAACAAGAACAAGCTTACTCCCTCCTAGCACTGATGATGTTGCCTAGTTTGGTAATGAAACATCTGCAAGCAAATAACCAAGCTCAGAGAGCATCAAAGACCCCTAGTTCAACCCTTAATGACAAATATTCTCTTCTATTGATAATCTGTTCTTTCAAGTTTCCCAATGGTGCACTTATCACCACCACAACTAAGTCCATCCACTTTCTGCTGGTCACGTTCTTCCTCTTTTTTCCTTGTATCTTTCACAGAATCAGAGCCTTTTACAGAGAGCTGGGCCTTTCCATAATGTGTCCAAAAAAAGAGAATAATTTGTTCATTTGTGCCTCAAATGAAAACTCTGGGTTCATTTCTTCAATGATCCATCAGTTTGTTTTCTTGGCTGTAGAGGAACTTAGATGAAGATTATACTGTATTTCTGGAGGGTACTTAAGTTGGGAATTTATTTATTTGGACAGTTTATATGGTTGTCTATCTTAAAGCAGTATTCTAAGCAGTAAATGGTAGTAAATTATGTCACTGGTGGGATCAACATTTTCAGCTCAGCATACCTAGCATTCCAGGAAGGTGGGATAAAAGAATCTCAGTTTTAGGATGAAATCTATAATCAAGATAGATTTCAATTAGAAGAATGATCATATCATATCATATCATATGATCATATTTCATTCCAAGGAGTGCCCTGTTTCAAGAAGTGCTCCCAGGATTCTATTTGCAGCTGTGGTAAGTGGGCCCTTGAAGTAGCAATTTGTGGAGCAAGGCCCAGATGGCCTTTCAAATTCTTCACTTAATCTGTGGGCAGAGAAATTGGCTTGTTGATTTCTTGAAAATTTCCTAAGGGAAGGAGAGGTTTTCCAAACACATTCTGAAGGACAGATTCTTCTTTATTTACACTATTACTGAAAACAAACAAATCATGAAATTTCCCTCATGTTGTCCGTCTGCTGGCATTCATCTGAACCCCCAAGGCATTCAGTGACATAGACACTGAAAAGATGAGTTTTGTAATGAACATTCACTGTTTATACAATCTTATTATTAACTCAATGCAAGAATACTACTCCCATTAGAATATCTCCCAAACTCTCTTTTTTGACAGAATTCATAAAACAAATTCCCTTTCAACAGATTAAATAAAGATGTGTACGAATAAAAATCTGATGAATTTCTCTGTCTGAAATTAATGATTACATTATTTTATTTTATCTTAGTGAAACAGCACATTCTTTGTACTGAGATAAGAACATTCTAAGAACAGCCAGATGGGGTGTGTATGTGTGTGTGTGTGTGTGTGTGTAAAAATATCATCACAATTAAAAATAAATCTTGAAATTTCTCATGCTCAAACAGACTCATAAAATCCAACAAATGATGTCATCAAAGATGTACTTATGAAAATTTTCATCAAAACACAATGGCAAATGTATTATCTTAGTCAGTGGCATTTCCCACATTTTATAGTAACATTTTGAGACTTGTTTTTTTTCTTCCTTTCTCTTACATTGTCACCCAGTTTTCATGCCTAAGATAGGACTAGAAGCCACTTTATCCCTTAACCACTAGACCATATACAGTATATACTGTATACTTATGGAAAATAGCATTTTTAAAGTTTCAGAAAGAAAATTTCTATCTATCACTATGAATTATCCCCAAATAATTACTTATTGTAGTTGCTACCTTATTTTGTCTCAGCTATTATGAACAAGAAACCATTTTCTTTCTCTGTTCTTAATGTATCTTTAACAAAGAATTACTATTACTATAGTAGAATTACTATATAGAATTACTATATTACTATTACTAATTACTATTTATAATTATAAACACCAGTTAATTGATTCAAAAGTGTGAAAACCTCAAGCTCTAATTATTTTATTTATAAGGGTGAAAATCTATGATTCCTC